TGGTGTGGACGAACCACAAATAAAAGTAGAAGTCGATGAGCCTCCAAATGAACCGGACTTGCCAGAAATTGTTGTTGAACCTGATGTTGCACCGGAACCTCCAAAATCTGAAGGTTTAATTAGATCAGATCATAAAACTTCCAAATAAAAATTTGTATATAAATAAAATACTTTTCTGGATGCTATTATAGTGGAACCTCCAGCTGAGCCTGCAGAACCAGCTGTTGTTGCTGATGTAGATGGCATGCCAGTGGTGAGAAAAAATATATGTAATATTTATATAGATATACTTTATACTTGTATATTTAGTTTTATTCATACATTTTTAGGAAGGATTAATTTCTGTCCCTGTGTCTTCAAAGGTCAGTACATAAACTTATAAATTACAAAAACTAATCTTTTCATGATTTATTTATCTTTTCAGTCAGAAAGCGAGGTTTGAAATTCATTTATTGAGTTGAATATTGCACAAAGAACTTACAATTAGATAATTACACTATGAATATATTTTTTAGGGCCAGGACCAGGAAGCACATCAGTTTGGGGTACAATATCAATTGTTTAATATGCGTTCGATTTAATTTCTACAAGGGTTTTATAATAATTTTAGTACTTTTTTCATTTCAGAGTGTTCTTAATATAGGATTGGTAAGATTCAACATATTAGTGTTTTAAAGTATATCAATTGCAATAATGATAATTTTAATGAAATTACAGGATTTTTCCAAGAAAAAATCGGCAAGTATTACTATATTTGTAAAATCCATATGGAATTAACGTTTGTTATTTTTTTAAATACATACTTATAACGTTTTTTTTTTCAGAGTATAGCTAAAGAACCGGTATGTAATTCTCACCATATACTTTTTATTATATTTTAATAAATTAATTATTAATATTTGCAACAAAATACTCTTTTTTATTCTACAGAGCATAAAGACATCAAGCAGCACAAAAAGAAGTGTAAGTATCTAATTCTAAAAATATTTACTGTACTCGATTTTTTTTACTTTCTTATTATTCATGAAGCCAATTTATTTCGAACTTATATTATTATATTATTGTTTGAATATTTTATATAATTAATATTAACTACAATTTCAAATCATTATATTAATCGCCAATTATTAGCAGTGAAATAAAATACTATAATTTTTATATTACAGAAACAGAGCATCACAATAGAAAGTGTAAGTATTTACAACATAATGCACATTAAACCTTTTAATTTAAAAATGATATAATATAATAAGAAAACTTCTCAGATAAATAATTTTATATAGTAAATATTTTACTTCTTAAATTGAATTTTAACTCACTCGTGTTTGATCAATATATTCCAATCCTACAAGTGACTGATTTTCGAATTAAGACGCAAGGCTTCAATTTAATTCAATATAAAGAATAAATTAATTTAAAATATTATATTTGCCAATAATAAATTTATATTAATATTTTGAATTAATCCTTCATTAATATTTCAGAGTACCAAAACCAGTATATCCAGGGCTAGTGTGAGTATTGTTTTATATACCAAATTGTTCCCTTAAAAGCGCATTATACATATATACATACATATATACATACATACATATATATATATATATATATATATATATATATATTATACTTAAGAAACTATTATGAATTTTCAACAATTTAATTCTCTGATCTTTGTTTTTCAGAGTGCCAAATCTTCTACCTTGTCTTACAGAAGTGTAAGTATGACTTATTATACATGCTTTTGTAATTTGATTTTACAGTAAGAATTTGAATTTCTCACTATCAAGCAAAACAACTCTAGTAAAAAAATGATTGCTAATTGTGCAAAATAATTGCAAATTGTGCAAATAATGAATCAATCATGGAAATGTTGACTTGAAGATTTTTTATTTAATGCGGTAATTTATTATTTTTTCCAATATATTCAATTAGACGAGAGACGCATCGGGATCAATTTCCGGAGATGGTAAAAAAAAGCGAGACAAAAGAAGAAAATCTAAGGAGAAAGCCATACATGCTGGACTAAATCTAAGAGCTAATTACAAAGTAGATGAAATAATCTTACTTTTATCCAAGTTACGATATTGTAAGTAAATCCCGATTGATATAATTCAGGTCATTGTTGACGGTCAAGATGTCACACCAAAAACTTTATATGATAACACTTATCAAGGATTTGAAGAGAAACAACTTATTGCATTGGATTTAGTGACAGGTGACTAAAATCAGTAGATATACATAGTTATATGCGATTTAAAAGTACATCCAAACACTTGATGATTTTCATTCATACCTTTAATAAATTAGGTAAATTGTCATTTATTATATATAAAATTAGTCTCACCTAAATTTTCCATATAGGTGTTCAATCCCAGCTGGTGGGATATGGTACTGGTTTAATAGCAGGAGATGGTTCTGAAGATGGAGCAGCCAAAATCAGCAATATTTTCCATGATCCAAATCTGAAACCATTGTCTTTTGATATGCACAGTACAGATTTAGACGAAATGACGACTTTGGAATATGAAATATCGACTAAACCTGATGTTGTCGATGATGGCATGGAACGGGCCCCTTCGCCCTTCAATATACCAAAAATACCAGAACCCACAACTTGGCCGAAATCTTTTAGTCTTGTACTTAAGGAAACTGAAACTATTTTTTTGTTCGACATGCAGAGTGAAACTGTTGAGAAAGGTTCTTACGAAGCTGAACAGGTAAAATAAAGATGATATTACACAAAGATTAGAATAATGACTTGAGTACTGATAAGTACGTAGTAATTTAGAATAAGTAGAAAATAGATAATGATCACTTTGTGATAAATAGACTTTGTTTGGCAGAAATTAAAGAGCAATATCTACATAGTTTAGATTTTTGTTTTTATATTCCATTTGGCATTGTATATGAAAATGATAAATATTAAATATAATACAGTAAAACCTCCTTATTCCTTTCTTTGAATTTTTCATTAGAATAAAAACTTTGTTAAAAAATTCGTGGATACATATCTTTGAATATTTGATAAAAACAGTCACATCGGCGCAATTTGCCTCTTAAAAATAAGACTTTCCATATACCGATCAATAAGGAACTTCTACTGTATTATATTATATAACACTATGGAGAATTAGTATTTCCATCAAAGAAGAGTCAAATTTGGACTCGAAACGTTATATATTTACTATTTTTTTTTTAATTCCAAAATTTACTAAATTTATATTAAAAAAAATATTTAAAAAATACTAAATTAAATTTTAATCATATTTAAAAATTTAAAAACTAATAAATTATTTAAATTATTCAAAGTTTTTTTACAAACCGTCCCTGTGCTTGTATATGAGCGATTTTGTTCCAAGAACGAAAAGCTTCTGTTCGCCTGATACATGCACCGTGAATATACTCACGGCGTTCCTTGGCGGTAATATCGTGTCTGTTCCCCTGGTAAAAATCGGCTCTCCCAAAGACAAAAAGTTAACGAAATTTTCGATTCCATACGATAGAAGAAATTCTACGATTTCAATGGCGACTTGTACGACTAGATGCATATAGTCAGGCATTAATTTATTAATCAACTGTCACTTAATTTACATTTAAATCTTACATAAATATAAATAAATATTGGTAAGGCAATAACAATGTAGCTGGTTGCCTATATGAAGAACATTGCCTTTGGACATAAGCGAGTAGACATGTGCTTGTTTTAATTAATCATCGATAAACTACCTTATGATACGAATAAACTCTACTTAAAAACAAGATTTTAATTCAATTCGGAAAATTAATTAAATTACAAGAAAGTAAACAAATAATCGTTCATTTAATTTAAATATATTCCATTTATAAATACCTTTATTGATGTCATCGAGGTCATTCTAAGTCTTCTCTAACTTAGTCATAACTTATACCTCTGTATCTAATGCTGTATTGGATAAATAAATACACAAAGACTGTAAAATTTATATACTCAACACGTAATTAAATATACAATTACAAAGGTATATATATTTCAAATGTAGAAAACAACACATGTAGAAAATCCTGTATATAATATAAACGCTAAAAGAGGATAACTTTCAAATATAAAACTCTATAATTTATATCCCCAGTAAAGCAATTTATTCCACAAATATTTTTTAGATATTCAGTTTCTTCGACTTCAATCAAATTAGTTATTTCTATCAACAGGTAGAAGCTGATAATGAGTTATACGAATATCTTACCGAAGGCAAAGGTCGAAAGCGCAAAATGACCTCGCAGTACACTCAAACTCCTTTGCTGCTCACAAAAAGCCGTTACACTTTAGCTGAACGAAGTACTACTCGAAATAGTGAAACATTTGCCAGTGAATGGGAAATGTTGGACACCTATACAGCTATTGAAGAAGCTGCCAAAAATGTGGTAATTTTAGACCCAGAAGATTCACAAAGTCCCTACATGATTCATCACGCCAAATTAAAATTGGAAACGGTGCAGAACGAATTGGAGAAAGAAGCTATACAGGCACAGCAGATCATAAATAAACCTAGCTTTAAAAGTGCTTTGATGGTAATTGAACGCTTATTGGCTAGTAATGTTTATGAAGAATGCCAAAAAAAATTTAGAGGTTTAATAGTATCTGATCCCACCAGGTTAGACCTTAAATATAACTACAGATTAGATTTATTGTGGACTTTAATAACACCAATACCAAGGACGAAGTGTAAACGGCGTTAAATGGAATCCAGTAAACGAAGATGTTCTGGCTGTGGGTTATGGAAGATTTTACTACGGTGATCCACAAACAGGATTAGTTGCAATATGGAACATCAAAAATCCAACGCAACCTGAGAGGGAGTTTTCCTTTAAAACTCCAATAACATCACTCGCCTTCTCCCAAGCTAATCCACATTTACTAGCTGTTGGTTTCTACGATGGCGATGTGATCGTTATAGATATATCCTGTTCAGAATTGTGTATCGTAAGTCAAAGTGACAGATTCAAATCCCGCACCTTTGAGCCGATATGGCAAATAAAATGGTACAACGATGAATATTCAGATTCGGAATTCGTCATGTGCACTGGCCAAGATGGTAGAATCAGTCGTTACCAGAGGACCAAAACTACAGAAATGGTGTATTCCCAGTTAATGCGTGTTTGTCGTTTGGAAGGCGAAGTGCAAGGTGTCCACAGGCCTAGGCGTTGCATAAGCGACGAGGTCAATATCTGTAGATATCCGGCCGCGTTGGTTTTAAGAAGACACCCGACAAGCCGTGACATATATTTTATAGGCACTGATGAGGGTTGTTTGTACAAATGCTCAATCAACTACCCAAATCAGCACCTGGCTGTAATTTTAGCCCATACAGGTCCAATATTTGCAATTGAATTTTCACCTTTTGCTAGGAAGATTTATCTAACTTGCGGAGGAGACTGGTATTTCCGTTTATGGGCGGAAGGAATCGATACTCCGATTTTGTCTATGAAAACAGGCATGTGCCCAGTTCAGAGCATAAGTTGGAGCCCTATACATTCCTGCATATAGCATGTGCTACCGGAAACACTGTGCAAATGTGGGATTTGAGCCGCAAAATGTTTTCTCCATCTGGCGTAACGGAACTAGAAGCATTAGTGACCATAGTGAACTTTACCAGTTCTGGAAATAGTATCGTAGTCGCCACTGTGGAAGGAGCTGTCCACACTTTTACTTTAGAAGACATGCCGTATCCTCCATACTATCAAAGCAAATTGTTGATTTCCTGCATTAAAAAGGCTCTTATCGGCAACCCTGAATTGGTAAAAGACCTAGAGAAACTAAACTTGGATAAAAACTGAATTTCTACATGTTAAAATATTTAATAATACATATTGTATGGAACACCAATATAATATATTCCAACAATTATTCAAAAATTGGCATTTATGTGCATTAATATAAATGCATTCACATAATTATCAAAATAATCTAAAAAGATGAGATATTTACCTAAAAATAAGAAATTGAAGGTCCACTCGCTAAGAACATAAAAGACTTCCAGAATTTGCAGTGCCAGAAATAAATAATAATTTATTAAATAATCACATTAGTATACAATATTTTATTTCTGATATATAAAGTTTATTTTATTATAACTCTCACCCTATACGGGGGCCAGACTCACTCATATAAATTCACTCGGTGATATTAAATATTAGATATAGATTAGAACCTAATATTAAATAGTCACCAAATTAACATGTTACCATATTCAATATAACTAATCTAAGGTTAATCATTGGGGTAGTTTATTTGAGAACTAATAATAAGACGTGTGAAATTTAAAGGCATGAAGGAAATGACATTATAATAAATACTATTTATATGACTAATACATTTTTATTATATTATATATTGCTATAGAAATATGAGGATCGGTTTGGTTGAAACAAGAAAGCAAGCAACGTTCCATCAATGGAAAAATGAATGTAAAACTAGAATGTAGAACTAGAAAAAAGAACACATTTTATTATATAATCATTATATTTGCAATTAAAAAATAATCCATCAATACTAAAGTTACTAATACTGATGAATTGAATGTTTGTTTCAAAATTTAGTAAATAAATATAAATTATTGATTATTTTAAAGAATCTCTGAAAAAAACTTTGAAAACATCTCACAAGAAATTGTTGAGCTATTATAGAAACGTTGCTAACTTTCCATCAAGTGGAAACCTGAGAAAATTTCCACCTCAGTTTTCCATTCGTCTTCCAAAATACGTTTTTACCTAAATCCGACCAAAATATGTGTAATACTTTCTATTATTGCACACGTCGTTTTCGATGAAATATATATGATGAAAGTAAGAAACATTATTGAGAAATTTAATTAGTTTAATATTTGTCACAGTGCTAGCAAAAATTTTAATAAGCAAAAAGTTTCTTTTATTGATATTAGTAATTATTACGTATTGAATTTTACAAAAGTGTTCAAGAACTCCGTGATAATCGAGCTATTTTCTTGATGAAAAGGATTTGTTTGATTAAGTGTAATTATTTTTGAGCACGACATAGACAACAAACTTAAATGCACTTACTATTGCAAAGATCAGGTTTTCCAAGAACACTTATTATAAATTTCAGTATAAAAATGTTAAATCTAGATTATATTAATCCTACGTCGGTGTATATATTGTCAATAGTTTTATATTATTCGCTTACACATGATATATGATATATATATATATATATATATATATATATATATATATATATATATATGTATATATAGTGAATATATTATATACTTGGCTAATACTATAATGCAAAACATTATAACAATTATCTAAATCTTCAAATGTCAAAATTATGCGAATTAATTAAACACTAAAATTAAAATTTGTACAAATATAGGATTTATAAATTGTCTAAGCAAGTGTTTCCAAAACAAATATAAATTAAGTATGTGCATAATTAGTTTATTTATTGTGGTAAACATGATTTCAAATAAGGTTTACTCCGTTGGGATTAATATTAATATTTTTATGATACAAATAATAATTTCTTCTTAAAATAAAGCTATAAAATAACAACCGAATAGTTAGTATTTTTGTGAAAATCTAGCTTGACTATATTTATCTAAATCAACAATGGCATATAATTTTTTACTGGCAACATATGATATATGTTATTTTTTCATGACACATTAAATCCAAAAAATACCACTTTTTTATAATAAAGTTGAAAAATCAGAGATTCATTTTAAATGATTTGTGCTAATAAAATTTCATTATATGAATATGTATAAATTATTAAACGAAGCTTTTAATAATATTTATATTGCTTGGCTTAATGTTATGTTAATATAATTTGTTCACAACATTTAAAATAACAATTTTCTTCACTTCCAATCTCTAATTTTTCTCCTTACGTTATCAAATTTAAAAAAATCTAAATAAACTTCTATATTATGACTATCAAATCTTTTGAAATACTTGTACAATAAAAAACATATTTAATACTATATAAACAGCACATATTTTAATATTTACATAAAAATATGTTCAAATATAACTCAATTTAAGTACCCTAACTAGTGCAAAACGTATTATAAATATATAAATGGCAAACCAATAGTTTTGTCAAATTTATCATTCTTCGATATAAATCCCATTGAAATACTTAAAAAATCAATAAATAAATAAAAAATCTGTATATATGATTTTATTAATTTGAAGATTAATAAAACTTAAAAAACCTAATATATACAAGGACCTTTGTTGGTACATTTCATAATTAACTAATATTTGAGATTGTGTTTTGAAATTAGAATATAACATTATATTCTAGATTCTATATCATGAATACTTTTTAAAAAGTATAGTTTATTACAAAATTTAACTTTTTAAAATGCAATGTAATATTTAAATAATATTGCTATATTTCTTTTGTCTCAAAATAAACATTTTATTCTCGCTGTTTTGATTAAACTTTTGAATTCGTACGACCGCTTATAATTTTAGAGTTAAACCATGTAAATTTTGTGTCTTTACAAGTTCATGCAAAAGTATATATCGATTAAGTATAGAAACATGCATTTCTGGTTAATTTTAAAAGTCTCGTAGTATCAATAATCAATATGGACCTATAGATAATTAAATAATCTATAATTAAGCGTCAATTGCACAAGATCACTTATAATAGTGCATAGTTTCAGAAAAAGTCATGGTATTTGAATAAATTGGTGATCTCTAATTAATAAAGAAAAATATTACTTTTTATTATAAATTGCTAATTGGCAACATAAGTAAATGCATGAGTTCTTAGTTATAATATGCCGCAATATTCCTTAACTTGACAGAATTAAAATTATATTATGCAGGCTGTTTAATTTGTCTCATTGGCTGATCATAATGTTAAAATTTTGGATTAAAACTTACGATCATGAATCATATGATGACGAATGCCGATCTGCAACTGGAGAAGGAGGAGTGCTGACTGAAGAACTGTTATTGCTTGCAACGCTGTGTCGAGACCCACTGGCCATGTCTACTACCTATAAATAAAAAAAGTATACTTAAAAAGTTTCTATTATATCATGAAAAATAGAGCTTGAAATTCTATTTGAGACTTGTATCTTAAATCTTATAAATAATAATTATTTATGTTATATATTTACCTTTAGTATATCATGTAAACTAGACATAGATCCAAGACTAGGTGGCGAATGAGAATCCCTATCCGTATGCATTCTTAACTCAGAATTTCTATCTGGTGATCGAGGCAAACTGGGTGGCTGTTCCCTCGGTCTCAATGGAGCTGTTCTTTTAGAACCTAAATTGTGCATATTAAACTTATCATACATTTTTCAGTATTAAATAAATAAATATTTTCATGACACCCTGCTTGAACAAACATTTAATTTAATTAAGCTATTATATTTTATTCACACTTGCCATTATATGATGGAAAAACTGGTCTAGGAGCAGTCCTAGGTGGAGGTGGAGCATGCCTTGTAGTTACCTGAAAAATATTTATCTAATGATTGTAGTGTTTATAATAATTTTTATAATATGTATATGATCAAATCTCTATATAAAATGCCTTAGCAAGTCTTTCATTTATTGTATAAAGTTTCCGAACTATATGAAATTCAATTATAATAAACACCAGCAAATACAATTTTCATTCCTTACCCGATCGGCAGTCTCTATGGTAGTTGGTAGATCAATTAAACGTTGAACTTGTATACCCTCTCCTGGACCCATGTGTGAAATATGATTGAAATTCGTGGGAGCTGAAATCATTTTCGACCTGCGATCAGTTGCTGCGGCCCTTTGAGACCTATTACTCTCGCGCAGCGAGAATCTTCGTTTCGGCGGTTTGCCCCCCCTGGAGTCGCTTCGTTCGCACCAAGACATGTTTAGCTGGTCCCCTATAAAACCAAAATTATTATCAGATAATAATACTAATATTAATAATTGCATGCAGGTAGTTAAGTGTAATATTACTTGTATGAACGCTGGCCATGTAAACAACACAAGGAGCGTCGTTCAGAATACATAAAACTAAGTTTCCTTGCAAATTTAATGGTTTAGGTTTCTTCAAACCGATGCTTTGGACCCATTCTGAAGTCTGGCAGTTGAAAACATCTATATGTGTCTCACTGAAGACTAGTAGATGGCCATCACAGTATGCTGTTGATAGAAAAAACAATAACAAACACAGTTACGAAATATATGTTTAATTAACTCACTGATAGCAGTTGGCACAGCAGGATACATGATCTCTCTATCCCTTGACTTCCTGCCAATACTATCTACATATATAGATAAAGTTTGAAAAACAAGGAGTGATTCTCCTTTAGAAACTTCCACAACTTTCCAAGCATCAACACCAGAATAACAGAGAAAAGTTGATAATTGATTATCAGGATGTACAAGAGCTGAAAAATAGTATTTAATTTAATAATGCCAAATAATTCTGTTACATAATTAAAATCATTAAGTTTTTCTAAATATGTATAAACATAATGTAAAAAAAAACTTACATGTTGGTTGTGTGTCTAACATTAATGAATAACTGGTAAACCCAGCTTGGTGTCCTACGATTAATCGATGGTCTGCTGATATCTGCACATTGAATAAAAAAATACTTATTCAAATAAATTTTATATTAAATATATTTCACCATTTAATCAATAATATTTACCTGAAGGCTTTGAATAATATAAGGCACTATAGCCTCAGCGATTTTCTCATGCCTAGTTTTAGCTCTATTAATTTCATAAACTAAAATTTGAGAATTATTTTGTCGTTTTACAACAACAACTAAACAAAATGCAGTAGGGTTTCGAGATATCATCCCAGTTGTAAATGTTATACAATTTTTGGTCTCCGCCACCTAATGAATAATAATAAATAAAATACAAAAAGAAGTGTGCATTATTAATTATTTGTCCTTTTCTCACCTTAATCCAATCAACATCTGTATTATATAATGCTCTAATTGGCACCAGCCTCACATGCCTTTGTCGTCCACATAAAGCTACTAATAATTGTTCCTCTGCAATTTGTGTCAACATGTGCACTTTTTTTGCTTCTCCAATTCGAGCAATTTCTGAAAATAAATTAAAATCAATTTTTATATACACTTAGTGAAATATAATAATTTGCATATTAAAATTTCATAAAAAGCTATGCTTACCGCTTCTGTCTAGCTCCAAACAATACAATCCTTCTTCAGTTCCTAACAGTAACCTATCAGGATCGATTATTTGAGAACACAAAGCATTTTTAACAACTGATAATGTACCATCTAAAAGCTCACGTGCCCGGAACATCTGTGAGTAAATAAAATATTTTAATGTTAAGTATTTAAAAGCAAAAGCTAATTGTTGTGTAAAATAATCTTACTGCAGTATTAGGTAAATTATTTCTTTTCAATATCCTATGAAGTTCACTTAGCGCAACAACCCATTTTGTTTTTTCGCTCTCTGTATCTGCTAACATCAACGTATGACTGCTTGGACCATTTTCTAGTAAAGATGTACTAATCTGCAAATAAAAATATTAAATATCATTAACATACACTAACAACAATATCTAACAAAGACTTTTAATTATTTTGTTGACATTTATGGTAATAAGATGAAACTCATAGATCAAAAATTTTAAGATTATATTAGAATAATAAATAAATTTACTCTAAATATGCAAGGAATGTCCTTCTTAGCAGCATGTATGACATCAGATTCTCGTACACCAGCTACACTAAACTCTGGATCACGCATATCCAAAACCTAAATATTAAAACAAATGAAATGCATTAACAATCAGTGCATAATAAACCTTAAATAATTTATCTATAATCAACTCACTTGTGACACATGCACACTTGGTAAAGCACTTCTATCAGATGAGATATCATAAAGAAATAATTTAAAATCGCAGACAACCACAAATTGCCTAATCCAGCCGCGTTTTACACCACCAAGTTTTGGAACTTTCACATAGCCTTCATAGGCAGTTCCAATTCCTCTTGTCGGATCGATTCCAAGTGGCCTTTTTGCTGTAAGACAGGGAAAAAATAATTTAGAAAGGTTAATGATAACATATAACATAAAAGATTTAATATTGTGCTATCCGTTATAGTTCTCGATAGAAATTCATATTTTATGTAATTGATGCAAACTTACTTTGATCGGGTGGTACTGGACATTGTGTTGGAACTCTTTGGCAGCATGTCATATGGCATGCAAATCCGCATAATTCACAGACAACACCTTGACGTGTTAGACCGACCTGTAAAAATAATAAAATAATAATTATTATTATAAAAGCGATATAATTAAAACCTATTTGGATTCTTCATTTATTTTTTGTTGTTGCCTGCAACCAATGTAATTGCGTAAAAATTAAATACATACCATTAAAGATGTGCAATGGTTACATTTCGTGGGACTGCTAAACGTCCGTACCAAAAATTGATGAACTTTTTGTTTCATACTTGGCATCATGTGCATCGAATTATGTTCCTGTAATAAAAAAATCATGTCAAATAATGTTAGTTTTATAAACAGAATAATTTAATAAATTAATTACCACTGAAATTTCAGATAAATTAGATTTTGAACTGCTCAAGGATAAAGCTCTGTTATCTTCAATGTCTCCATCTTCACTTTCCATGCTTTGACCTGAATAAAAATATCATCAACTTTAAAACTTAGGTAACGGCAATTATTTATTATAATGGTGATATTGACAATAATAAGTTTGGATTCAAAGTTTTCATCGTTTGCTCACCCAAATGCAAAGTCGACGAAATATTCGGCGATTGCAATTGCCCTGAATTCGGTGGGTGTTGGCTAGTTACCGGAAAAGCTGGTATACCATAGTTCTGCACACTATGCAGACTTGGGCTATGCAAATTTTGAACAGATGAATTATGGTGAGTAGATCCGTGCTGGTGCGTCGTACCAGCCTGCTGGACGGTAGAAGTTTGCGTAGTGCTGGTGGCTACTGAAGATTCTTTTAGAAAATGATCCAAGTAGGACATTTGAGATGACGGTCGTTCTAGGACTGAAATTTTAAACATTTTATATGAGCATAAAGAATAAAGCAACAGAATAGAAGACTTATGCACATTTTCATATATTTTTGGTTCCATCTCCTAAGAATAGTCAATTTAAAAATGATATTTTTTGCCAAAATAATTGTGCAACCAGTCTTGTATTTATTTGAATTAGTTTATAATATAAAGTGATCATTAAACGTCTGTAAAACTGCAAACTATAATAATATCAAGAGAAATGATATTTTACTTACAGTTTGAAATAGTAAATTAAAGCGCACATGCAACTCGTTAATTTCATATTAATAATTAGATAATTTAACGTCAATTCTTGCTGTAAAACTATAAAATAATTGTATAAAATATATTTCATTAGCTTTTATATTTTTAGGTATAAATTAAGACATAATATAGAGCAATATATTATTCAAAAATAATTGGGTTAGACAAGCAAACTATTATCTAGAACCGCAAAAATATTAATCAAACGAATGGCATAGGCATTCCTTATTGCTTTTTGTTAGTTTCAATCTTCAGGCAAAAATTATTTCAGAAATAAACACAGTTTAAACGTGTTTTTGAATGTGTTGATGAAAAATATTAGATACGTAAAATGCTGAACCATCTTCAAACACACAAAATGCAAACACAACAGTTTTTCATAAAAACAAAAATGCGTAAATCCAAAAAGAACAGAAAAACAAAAAAACAAAAATTATAGTCACATTACCGAATTTTTGATGCGATGCTCTTTAGTTTATAGAGAGACATCTGAAAATACTTGTAAAAATACTCAAAAAAATCTAGATATGAAAAGTTTGCTGTGTGCTATATGTAATTCTGTTAAAACATTTTTTTACAATACTATATATTAAACTGTACAAACATTATAACATACTAAAAATGTAACTGATTTATATACAATGTATTGAAATTCATATAAAATTAATATTGTAACGTGAAGATTGAAATAAACAATGAAGCAAAATATGTTCTATATATACAAGAACTAATCTATATGTTGTTTATATATTCTATTTGTAGAAAGTAATTGTGAACTAAACGAATTAAGCGAAAGGAGCAATAAATAAAATATAATATTCTTTAGCGTCAAATTTGAATATATTAAAAAATACTTATATAAAATATTGAATTATATTCGAATATTTTCGCGTTATGATAGATAGTTCAAAACTTTATTTTTAACACAACCTATATGAACACTATATCTACATTATGCAGACATACTCAGTGAATAAAATCTTCCTATAACAAATATATTCTGTGACTAGAAAAAGCCAAATATAAACATTAAATTAAACATTTTTATGGTGCCCTTATAATTAAATTTTGTTACTGCTCAAAGTCCAATTTGTCCAATATATTAAAAAAGAATGCAGTATATATCACATGTTATAAGAGGATTTATCAAAGTGGTACGCAACTTCCAAATTATGATTTTGAAAAGGCGGTTCTCTTTAATTATCTTTGGCCGAATTCTTATAAAGATGTGTTGTGCACCACTGTTTAAGTACTTTAATTAGTTATTTGATATGTGTTTTAAGATACAATATAAACGCAAATTATTGTCATTGTTTTGTCGGATTAATATATTTTCATTACAAATATCACTCATTCGTATAAATCTCTGATTTATTAACAATATTGTTTGATAATAAATAAAAGAACGCCCCAAACGCACGAGGTGATTCCCACCAACATGGCGATACCCCTTCGGCCGCTTAGCAAACGATCGCTTGACGAACTTCGTCTTGTATTCTCTTCAACAGCCACAGTTTGTACTGAATAATTATTTATTTGTTTATAATCAAGCCATCATTAAATAATAACAAATATTACTCTAGGCTTACAAACATTTCTCGATAATAGAAATATAAAATTTGATTTAGGTTGTGTTGAAATATTTGTTATTTGATTAGATTTATGAATTACGAGGAAACAACATTTTTGCAATTTATATATTTTTTATAACAAAATTGTCGCTCTTAATACGTATGTTATGCTTGATTCAACAATCACATTTTTCTAATTTATGCTAATTTCAGCAAAAGATCTTTCCTAATTTATTGATTAAAACTGAAAAACACTATACCTAGTCCAATCATTATAATAAGTTCACCTCCGAATTCGAGATACCCATCATCTGTAAATACTGTATATTGACATCCTAAAAGTTGTCTCAAAACTACATATAGTATTGTGTACATACCATAAGATAGGGTGTACATACCATATGTAGGTTTTGAGACAACTTTTATGGCGTCAATATACAGTATTTACAGACTTACAGCTGAATATCTCGAATTCCGAGATTCTTATATAATTTAAGCTTAAATGACTGGACTATTATCACTTATTTGAATAAGTTGGAATTGTAATATGTCAACATTCATCAAAATAAAAAAAAAACTTACATCCTTCTCCAGATTCTAATCGATGCTGCATGTCCTTAATCTGCATTTCTTTACATTTAACATCTTGAGCCAGCATCTCATATCGTTGCCTCAAATCCCGTTGATCTCTGAAAGTATTAGTATTCATAAAAGTTATTTATAAACTTAAAGTTTCGTAATAACTGGCAAAACAGGACTTACTTTTGGGAAGCAATAAGATCTGCTCTGGTTCTTGATAGCTCTTCGGAAATGACAGCTTTAGCCTGAATCTCACTTTGCAAAGAACTCTGCAAATTGAGCAATTCCATTTTATCCAATTTCTGAGATCTCCTGTTCCTCCAATTTTTATCCGTTGATTGCGCGGAAACACCTGCGTATATTATAAATTTTAATATAATATAATATTAACAGAAACTCAATTCAAACCTCACCTGAATGTTTAAGATATTCCAGTTCCTCCGTCATTTTTGTTGCTAAAGCTTGTAAATAACTGCGTGCGTCTTTTTCATCAGAAACCCATTGAATTATCTCACTGATCTGCCTCTCCCATTGCCCGATTGCTTGTCTCTTATTACTGAAATGTTAAAATAAATTATGAAAATACAAAATTCTGTCAGTAATTAAAATCATATTTGCAATGCAATTACTTACCGCAACTCTTCAAATTCACTATCCATTTGCATTCGTTCATTCTGTATTCTTCGTACTGTTTCGCCCATCTGAAATACAAACAAAGTTATACTAACATTGCATATTTAATAACACCTTTGAGGCCTACTGTTTCCAAGTCAGCTAGCAATTTCCTATTGTCTTCTAGCAACATTTTCTTTTCTCTATCATGCCGTCGCTGTAATTCAGCTATCGCTTCTTCAGAATCGGTCAAGCTCTCCAAACGACTAGAATCTAATTTTTCTCTAGACATTTGTAACTGTAACACAAGTATAAAACCATATGATAATCTTCATAGATATTTATGTTCTAAAATAATACTATAACAAATTATTTACCTCCCGTTGCAACATGTCACGCTGTGATTCAGCCTCGTTCAGCTGCTCCCGTAAAGTCGTCAGGTCTTTAGTAAATCTAATTTGTTGCTGCGTCAACCTTTCATTATATTGTAACTAAAATAGTAAGAGGTGATTATTTTTAAATAATAATAGATTTAATTTAAATTATTTTTAATAATTTTAGATCATAAGGCAGGCACTGAATGCACCTAGGTACGTTCCCAACTGGCTGATTCACCAGGACAGCAACATAATGACAGTAAATGAAGAAATTCAACAAAAAACAAACAACTACAAAAAAAGAATAGACGAGCACCCAAATTACTTGGCCAACAAAGTATACTCAGAAGCGCGCCCAACAAGACTAAAACGAAAAATTCCAAATGATCTTATAAATTTGTAAATTATTATTATTATTATTATTATTGTTATTATTATTATTATTACTATTATTATTTTTATTATTATTATTATTATTATTATTATCTTACTATTTCTATTATTGTTATTTTGTTATATTTTATTATTTTTCTAGTATTATTTTATTATTCTGAAATTTTATTTATATTATTTATTAATCTTATTTTTATTATTATTTGCTTATATTTTACATTAAATCATATTACGGATATTTTCATGTAAATTTTATCCTTTGCTCTTTTATTTATTTAAATTTATATTATAATTTATCAATATTACTTGATGTTAATAAATTAGCAGTTGTAATAATTATTGAAATTAAAAAAAAATATTTTTTTTTAAATAATGCATAGTTCTAATATTTGCACTGCAAAAAGTTTCTTTAAAAAAATTTATTACCTCCAGTCTTTCGTAGTCAGAAGATTTATTGAGTGAAGCACTTGAACTACTTAAATCACTTGTCGATCTCATTCTAGTCCTTTCAGATTCTTCTTGTAATTGTCGACAATATTCTTCTGACCGTTCTCTTAATTTTCTTTCCTGTGATTAAAAATCCAATAATATTGTAGATAAAAATATAACAATAAATGATAACTTTTAAAATTATCCTACCTTTCCTGCTTCCGCAATAGAATCTTCGACTCGAGATTCCATTTCTCTGCGATTTTTTTCAGCTCGGCGAATATCATTTCGTAAACTATCAATTTTTTGCATTGCTACTTCCAATTCTTCCTCCTTATCTCGAACCTTAAATTGTTACAGATGTATATATAATCACACAATACATTTTATATCATTTATTTGTATTTTACAAACCTGTCTTGATAATTTTTGTTTTTGCTGACGCAATTCCGATAATCTGTCGGTAACTTCTGTATATTCAGTCATTGCTAATTTCCGTTGGCTCAGGGCATCTTTTAATTCTTTATCCTAACAACAAAAATACTGTGAAAATCTTGATTGTAATAAATACATTATCTTAAATAAATACAACATCTATAATTGCTTTAATTCAATAAACTTTTTATACTGACCTGTTGTTTTAATTTCTCTAAGCAATCCAATTTATCCTTCATACATTCTTCCTTTTCTTGGGTCAAAACCCTAATGAACTTTTCCAACTCTCTAACTTTTGCATCAGAAGTTTCTGCAGCATCTAATTGATCAATTTTTCCAGTAGTCTCAAAACTTTTAATTTGAGATTCCAATTCACAATTTCTCTTTGTGAGAACATTTATTTCGTCTTGGAGTCTTCTAGTGCCATCAGGTGAAGATTTTTTCTCATCGAGCATACAAGAGATTGACTGATTATCCATTAATGGTAAATTACGTTTTGACAATTGTTGTTGTTGCTGAAGATTATTGGCTTGGTTTGTTGTAATTTGGTTGGAGTCATAAGGCTTCAACATACATACATCTGATAAATAACTGAAAGGAAAAATGCAGTATATCAATAATTAATGTGAATGACTATGGAATTAGTTAAGAAGATAGCTCAGTGCAGAACATTATCTTACCTTCCTTGGGTAAATGTGAATCCGATAAATGGTAAATGATGTCCTGAAAATGCAGGATTTGCTGTAGGTGGTACTGCATCAGATAATCTGCAAATTATGAGAAAGATCAAGATTTATATGACAAATTATAAAGTTGATAATTTTTTTTACGCTGTACAGTATAATATAAATCTGAATTGATTAAAAATATTTACCGTATATCTGTATCATCAACATCAAAATTTGAAGTATCAGTTGGACTCGAAACGTCAGGTACATAAGGTGCTGCACCATTTCGAATATTATCCCAATCAACACCTTCAAACCAAGGATGAGTCTATAATAAACAACCTCATTTTAATTAAATTACCGATACATAATAATCTAATATTATATCAACATAAAATTAAAAGTCACCTTAAAATCCTGAATTCCATGTTGTCCCAGTCTGAACTCAGGTGCACAAATAAGCCTTCTTATGAGATCTTTAGCATTTTCAGAAACATCTATACCCGAATCAGCAGGAAAATCAAAACAGTTTCGATGATTCATTATTTTCCCATAAGTTTCTACTAAACTTTCAGCATAGAATGGTGTTTCTCCATAGAGCATTTCATACATGCACACCCCTATATTGAAAATAATAGATAAAATAAAAAATATTACGTACGAAATTAATTCAGATTGCCCGATTTCCTACCCAAAGACCACCAATCGCATTCTCTTCCATATCGTCCTTGGCCGTCTTCCATAGCCCTTAAAATTTCAGGACTAATGTAGTCAGGTGTACCTACTGCTACATTGCTCTGAACCATTCCATCAGCATTTAGCCTGAGGCAGGATCCAAAATCGGCCAACCTAATGTGTCCATGCGCGTCTAAAACCAAATTGTCTGGTTTGATGTCCCTAGAAAAAATCACACAAGAAATTAGACGTTAAAATGTAAAAAATGCATTACGACCAATGTATATAGTACCTATGAACATATTGAAGTTCATGAATTGAAGCAATTGCAAGAACCATTTCAGCAATATAAAATTTAGCCATATCCTCAGGTAATCTGTCCTCAAACTTGCTCAATAAAGTTAATAGGTCGCCGCCGCAGTAATAATCCATCACAAGATACTGAATATGTACATAAAATTTAAATAAAAAAAACAGTTTGTTTTAGTATCCAATTGTCAAATAATTTAAAATATTATGTTTGGCAATTGGATATTCTTAATTGTATCACATACCAAATTGCTGTCGTCTTGAAAAGCATAATGCAAGTTCGTTATCCATCTTCTATCTCCAAAAACCAATACATCTCTCTCTTCACGAAAACATGCTGTTTCGGCTCTCTTAAAAAAAATAGTTAAGAATTACAAAGTATTCTTAAATGAACAAAACAAGTAAAACCATACACTCAAATACTCATATTAGGGTTAAAAAAATCAAAAACCAATCTTCGAATTTTTAACACCCTTTTATCTAAAAGTGCAAAAAAAACAATTATAAAACTATTTATAACAGAAGATGTTTTCACAATTATTTAGATAATTATTTTTTTTATTTACAAATATTTACATACTAAAAAGTGAACGTTTTCTTATCAATATATTTAAATATTTAAATTATGATAACTATGCTAAAATAATTTCATCATTTGAACAGAGATATTAAAGAACTCGAGTTGACTTCATAAAAAAAACAGCTAAAATACTTAAAAAATATTTACAACTTGAATGTGTATTATATGAATATTTCAAATTTATGATTATGATGATTTATGTGATATATTAAGACATAAATAATTAGAGCATATAATGTTTGTAAATAAGATGAAAATTTATGCAAAAAAATTATGAAAAGAAGTTTTATCTAAGAAAAAAGAACTTTAAGAATATTCATAACATTATAGTAATTCATATGCCTAAAATGCAAATTTTTTATTAGCATATGTGTAACATATACATAATTAAATAAAATGTATAAATTAATCTATAGTAAATTAAATGTATGATATTAGTTATTGCAGAAGCTTTACGATTTTTAAAGGAGATTGTACATTCATATGAAATTACTAAACTTGTTTTTTCTTTTTACTAGAAATTTCATGAAAACTTACTTTCAGCATTTCCCATTTATTAAGAATCTTCATAGCATAAACTTTTCGTGTCTGGATCATTCTTACGACGCAAACTTCGCCAAAAGCGCCTCGTCCTATAACTTTTATTACTTCGAAATCCTCTCTTGATAGCCTGTATGATTTGATATTTTGCGCAATAGGTTTCACTGAAAACCAAAATATATTTATTTAGCCAAATACAATAAATACAAATTTATCAAAAAATATTTTTTACCTAATTCTATAAAATCCGAGACAGTCTTCTCTCTTCTCAACGAAGAGTTACAGCACTCATCATACAGCACCAGCAAGGCGTCCAGAAGGCTTTCTATAGAAATCATTTTTCCATGGTTCATATTGTTGAAGTGATCGTTTTTGTTATTGCATTCGGTTGAATTATTGCTTGCTTGTTTGTTCGAAATGGCCGAGTTGTTGTGCAGGACCGATTTATTCACAGGGCTGTCCAGGATCATCGATTCCAGAAGCTGAAATCTCTTGGATCCTGGTACCCCTGAAAGAATAATTTCAATTCTTTTAATATCTTTTGCATTTGCACGTATGTATAGCAAAAATAAAATAATAATAATAATAATAATAATGAAATACAATAAAAACTTTAATTCCACAAACGAGTTAAATGATACTTAAAATGTTTGACAAAATTATGGAAAAAAGCATGACAACGTAAACATAATATAAAGACTAAAAAATTTAATGTTTGATGCTTTGAAAATGGTCATTTCTTAGAATATTCTCTGGATTCTAAAAAACATTTTATAATCTAGAAATAACTGTTCATTAATAAAATTAGAAGAATATTGAAACATATTTGAAGCAATATAGTTGGAAATCGCAGACAATTATAAATCATGAAGTGAAACTGATGTTCTCATACATAACAATGAAAACTTTTTTTTTACATTTTCCCATAAACTATATGGGACATATGTACATATTCTGTATATCTTTGTATAGAATAATCAAATCAACTATAATAAAGCATAACGATTTTAAGCCGAACACTACACCATAAGTGAATTGAATAATTCAATTAAATATTATTAAATCAAATTATTTACTATCGCTATAATGTAAGTTTTATTTATTCACATCATGTTCACAGCAGACAACATTTTTGAATTATAAATCAATTTGATCATTGTATAATGACTGAGTTATCTTTTTCCTGAAAATTGCAATGAAATCCGATAAATGAATCTTTTATTTCTCATTTTGTCATAAATTTTAATTCTTTTACCGATACGTGATTCTATCTGGGTACAAGAATAGCATTAGTAAATTTGTGTAAGAGATCAATAATTTTTAATTCGTTAGCCAATACGTGATTCTATCTGAATAAGAGAAAATAGCAATAGTAAAATTGTGTAAAAGATTAATGATTTTTATATAGAAATTTCTATATAACAATATAATTTTCGCATAACAAAAGAGTGCAAATTGCAACAGAGTGTACTGTGAATCCGCCGACAATTTTGCTTGTGCAATACGTGTGCTATTCCATAACAATAAATTGTGAAAACATGATTAATAAAAACTCATCTGCAATTACGAGAATGCAAATTGTGCAGAAAGTAAAATGAAGACTGAAAGTTCTTTAAAATGCACAACTTATTAAAAGATTCATAATAAAAAAAATCAATGCTGAAATAACTAAGTCAGGGCAACTGTTATCATACAAAAATGCCAATACATTTTTTTTATTAAAAAAGCCCTTCTGCATTAGAAAAAAATTGATGATTAAAAAATCAAGTTGCAGCTATTCAAATGTTGACTAGAAAAATGCATAAAGTGGTAGAATAATTAATAAATTTTATTAATGTGATAAATAAGATGATGTTTGCAGACATGTATAGCAAAATATTCATTATATATCAAACTGAATATTATATCAACCCAAAAATATCATTTCCCCAAAATACCTTTATTCAATACCTACTCTACTAATTAATGGACTTTTGCAAGTCTCTCAAGCTATTCCTTCCTATGAACAGATTCTCAATCTTCTAATTATTATTATTACACATGTATAAATTAATAATATTTTTTTGTTATTATGATTATTTGGAAACACAAAATTATATCAACATACATATAATTCTAGAAACCCAAATCAATTCAAAACTATGCTTTCAGAACATATGATTAACTTGAACCATACTTTTAACATGTCAAATCCTACAAATCCTATACATTTAAAAAAATTGTGATCTTAGATAGTTGAGTCGTTACTTATATCCCTTAATACTTCTTGTGTCAACAAACGTAATTCCTCTCATCTTTTACATGACAGTTACAAGGTCATTATAAATTTCATGAAAAGTAATTCTTTACAGTATCAGAATCTTTCGTTCGTTATATCCCTTCTCTGTTTCTAATTCCTCTTTTGTTTCTTATACCCCGCTTCCACTCACTCTACCACACATGCTGCGTAACCTTGATCAGTTTTCTTAATGCACTGCGATTGAACGAATACAATATAGGAGGGCAATTTAAGATCATGATGTAATATACATGAGTGGCTATTTATTCTAAAAACTTTAATAATTAAATAAAAATATATTTTATTATTTTTACCTGAATTACTGTTTTGGCTACCGAGATGTTCCTTTACTTCAGCCATGGCTTCAAATGTTCAGTTAAGTGCAGATGAAAGAATCGATTATTGTGTTGTGGTTCCTAATATTTAGGTAGGAACCTGTAAGAAAAAAATATTTACGTATAAATTATCATTTGCATACATATGCATATTTATGTTTATAATTAGACCTTGAAAGCAATAAAAAATGGCTCAAAAAAGAATATATATTTTTTCAACAATTTAGGAAGTATGTATCGAAAAAATCTTTACCCTTTTGATAGTTCTTCAAAAATAATAAAGTATTTCCTCTAACAAAATATTGGTTTTTATATATTATACATGATTTTAGTGCAATTTTTAGAATTTAGATAAACTATTTTTGTATAAATTTCTATAATTAACATAAAATTAGAAACATGTTGTAAATATGCAATGCTGGAAACATTTTGAAATGCTATAATTAAAATATAGTCTTAATTATTTCTAGCATAAAAAATATTTAAATTTATGGAATATTGAGATTGTGACTGAAATGGAAAATGTTTTAAAATTTTAAACATTGATATTAAATATTTAAAGTTAAATATTAGAAAGACAGCTTTCCCATCAAGTGGTATAATAAATTCAATAATAGGAAAATTAAATACAATAAAACATGTAAGAAGTTTTATACATAAAATAAAATAGATAGAGAAAAAATCGCAATCGAAGTGGTAATAATAAGTTTTAAATTTTTAAATAATATTAATTAACTCTCACCAATTGCAGGATCAACAATATGAGCAAATTTTTAAAATAAATAAAATAGTGCTTTGAAATAAGGATTAGATACAATAAAATAATAATTTATATAAATAAAAAAAACATAATAGGATTAAAAATCGTAAAAGTAGAAGATTTCAATTTTTAAATAATTTTACATATTCAAAGCCTAATTTCAAATATCATTAATTACAGGATGCAATATGTATACCATATTTTTTAGTTTTATAAAACAAATTCTATGAAATTAAGATTCAAAAACTAGGATAAGTAAAATGAATAAAGAACGAAATAAGTAAAAAAACATTGAGATCGTAGTTGATATTAACAAATATTATATATCTGCAATTCTGGAGAAACCTACGTGAGTTTTACAGAATTCATTTTGGAAATACATATAATTAATATTTCAAATACAGATGAATTTATAAATGCACATATATATGTATGTTTTCATTAGCAATGCTATTATTAGTAACGCCATAATTAAAAATATATTATGTTCAGATATTTCTCCATGAATACAATAGTTAGTCTTTTATATCATCAAAGGAACTGTTTGACATTTTTGAATAATACAATCATTGCGCAAACAAGTTTTGCCTAACAATATAAGATCATAATTTAACATAGTATACAGAATCCGGTTTAGAGTACTGCGATTGGCATTTATAGTTAATAAAGAAATTTAATTAAAATTACTTAGAGATATTATATATTTTAAATGCACCTTTTATAGTAATATAAATTACGTGCTCATTTACAAGACGGCGGTATAAGCCTAATTTTAGCATTTTTTCCCAAAATTAAACTAATGATGCAAAATAATTGGATAACATTACAAGACAGATTAATGAAGGGTAAATTTAATATGATTTATTTGCAATTATGAGGCGACGATATGAACCGAATTAAATAATATCCATAATATAACAGAAGTTGATAAAAAGATCTTGAGGTTATTTAAATAATTTATTGAAACAGATATCAGCAATTTTAGGTCGAATAAGGCATCCCCGTTACTTATCCCATAGTTTATTAAATATAAGAAAAAACTTTTTTAATTTACCGTAGGGTAAGTAATAGTAATCGCAAAAAATCGAAAATTGAAGGTTTATACATCTTTACATTTCAAAACCTTATTCCAAATCTATTATTTCTTAAAGTTTGGACCTTTTTCTAAGTTTTGGTAGGGAAAGTTCCAGCAATTTGCCTTAAGGGTCAATAATGCCATGCACTACTAGTTTTAAACTTCCCGTAGGGTAAGTTGTAGTAATCGCAAAAAAATCGGATTTTTTTTTGTTACAATTTATTTTTGTTAATCAAGACTTTAATGTCTTAAAAAATCGGAAATGAAAATTTTTATATATTTTTACGTTTCAAACGTTTCTGAATATTTTGGCATACCTTAGAAAAAATGGTATGTACGTGTGTGTGCGCGTGTGTGTGTGCGGATACAAATTTTCGTCGATTTCGGGAACACGGTTCAACCGATTTGAATAATTCAAGAAACGGAGCAAAAAAAACAAAAATGGTAATTGAGTTTTTAAGAGAACAAAGCGTCCGATTTGAATAATTCAAAAAACATTTTACTTGTAATGACAAGATAAAGAACTGATTAAATTTTTGGGAAGACAGGTCCAGCGGTTATGAACTCTCAATAAAATGAAGTTAAAAAATGTCATTTGGCGGTCAAAAATTGTATAGAGATTTTAATAATGTGCACACACTTTGTGTAATTTTCTTTTCGGTTCCGTACCAAGATTTTTAATTAGAGTACAAGAAGATCCAGAAATTTGTCTTAAGGCACGATGCCATGCACCACTACTTATTTATTAATATATTACCGAACTGTTAATTAGAAAATGCAACCTGGACGCATTATTAGTTAGGATTAACTTACTTTGTTATGTTATTTTAAATTTACTAAATAAATATATAAACACATATTTCTCCTGTATTTAATAATAATTTTTAGTACTATCACAAATCAGATAAATGGGGTAGTCAATTGTAAAGTGAAAAGTATCACAAAGGGTTCATGTCTTCAAAATAAAATTTACAAGTATAGTAATTGATATAATATCCAAGAATTGTATTAACTATTTTGCTCAAAATATTAAATAGTTGTTAACTTTTAAATTATAATATTCAATAGCACCAAAAACTGTTTTCTTGACTTAAAAAAGTATATTTTTGGATTGTCTTTTCTGTCTCAATGCCATATCAAGATGAAACAGAGAAATGTAATGATTTATGTTAATTATGAAAAATAAAAAGAATATATATTAATGATGAAATAAATGATCATGACCACATACAAAATACTTTAATCAATACTTTTGTTACATTTTTTGGTATAAAAATGTAAACTGAACCTATAGATATTTATCATTGATACCCTATAACATTATGTATTATATATCCTGATGTAGAAATATATCAAAATTGAGCAAGATGTGACAATTAATAAACCATCCCCGGTGTACTTTATTGACATTTGTAAGCCCTGCAGATAATTTAGACAATTGCCAAAAAATCAATATAATTTTTATGATTATACGAATATTACAAATTACGAATAATATTGGCACAGAAATTCCACAAGTTCATAAGCCTTTGAAGCACAATACTGGTTTGCTAATAACACACTTTATTTTTGACAGAGAAATCTATCAATACACATCGAATAACCTAATTTTAATTTGTGCTAATTATACATACTACACTCATAATTAAATATCATACCATTCATTTTGGCGATCCTTCTTCGTATGAGTAATTAATAACAAAAGACAATGACATTATTTTGTTTGATTTGAATAAAATTAATTCTAGGGCGACGGAAAAATTTCGGTCGCCATATGCAGTTATTCACAGGAGGGCTTTCATTTATCACACTGGGGGGAGAAATAATAGGAATATTGTTAGATTTAGACGAGAAACACTTTTTTGACGTTGTTTAAATATCTTTTATTCGTGATCAACACGATTTGTTCGAGTCCAACTAGGTAAGAATTTTTCTATATGTCACCGATTAGTTTGAAACCTCATATTAGCGTTTTATATAAGTTATTAATTATCACAAACGTTCATTTACACTTTTATAAATATTTCTAGATTTTGTTTAGATGGTTATTTATATTTTGCTTTAAATAAAAACGTAATATTATCACTTCTTGTATAAAAATTACACAAACACAACTCGACCCGTACGACAAATCACACATACATGAAATATTTACGGTTTGCAGAGAATATGAAGCATGTGGCGCCTCTCGTAAGTTCTTCTTGAACTCTTAGCTTAAGCGCGAATTTTGAAATTTGAAAATCACGTCATTACATATTATTTATTTATAAAGGGTTGATAATTTACGACAAGAAACATTGCATTCATCTCATTGGTTCTAAAATTCAATCATAATACCAAATTTAACTTACAAATAAATTATATTTGCTTGTAAATATCATACAAATATTATAAATAAATTTATGAAGGCACACCATATAATTCATGAAAGGCAAGACACAAGACACAAGCATTTAATATAGCTATTATCATTTCTACTTAAAAGAAAGTTTTAATTTATTGCAATATGCTTGCTATAAAACCTACAAACATATACATTATTTAAAATTTATATAATACAATTGTTAAGCCAATAACTTTTTATTTTAAAATTAAACATTTAAATATAAGTTTGTATCATCTATGCCTAATTAAGTTAAATGGTAATATTTATAAATATTTAATATGCTATTTACCACTAATACATTAATAAAATTATTGTAACAATTGTTTTAAAATTACGTTATCCTAATATATAATAAGTTCTTAATATTAATAAAATATGCTTGTGCAGTTTTAAAATTTTAAAACTTAAAGGTGAATCGATTTAATTTATCATGTACAGTGTTTAAAAAACACTGTGCTAAAATTATCAACACACAACAAAACTAACATATGTTGGAATGAATATATCCATATCTATACAAAAATATAAAATGTAAATAAATTGAACTTTCTTAATTTCATAAATCGATGCATTATAATATTATCTATATGTTGAAAATAATTTAATAATAGCATCAGTAATATTTTCAGCATGAAACTGTTTCTAAAAGTGATGATTGGATTGGAATTTATTTAAAAAACCAAATATCTTTATGTGCAACAAGAATAAAATAATTTCAAATCAAATTGAAAGTTCAAACTTAAATGTTATTTACAATTATCATAACTATGTAAAATTAAATTAAAATATGTTTAACAAAATTCAAGATTACATTAACATACAATTTGTCCAATAAAAATGAAAATTATATTATAAAACCTAAAAGAATCTTATGTCATTTCTTTATAAAAGACCTAACTTTATTATAGCATCTGTCCATAAAATTTTTTTTGCGTTTACCATCCTGAGAAGGTAAAGACATCATAGAACCCGGTTGGGATTCCGAGCAATCAGACAGTGCTTGTTCGTTCATAATGTTATCACAGCTTTTCGAAGTATTTTTTTCTACACCAAGGCTTAATTCAGGAGTTCCAGAACTACTGGATCGATCGTCTATTAAATTTTCAGTGCTTTGTGTCAATTCTTTCTCAGGTTCCACTAAGTTCTCATAACTTTTGGAACGCCGGTCACTATCTGAGACACTGTCAGTGTCAGTAACACATGGCTTTGTTTCATCAGATAGTTCATCGAGGCTCTTACATCTAGTACCATTATTATTGGTATCTTGAATTAAAGTTGATAGTGAAGAATTATCAAGAGATTTGGGTGTGGTGTCATCTAACAACTTATCTAAGCTTTTAGATCGGTTATTAGAAGCATTATCTTCTTTAAAATCTTTCTTGCTAAATGATGTATCAGGTACATCGCGGGATAATGGATAGGCATTAGCTGAGCTTCTTCTAGTATAAGTTCTTGGAGCTGGCCTTGGAACCTTAGGCGGACCATTAGTCAACCAGGAACGTGACGGACTAGGAGAATTGCGTAGACGGAATACTGTTGGACTAATGAAAGAAAATCTCATTAAAATATATTATATAAAAGTTTCACATCATTTTAGAGTTGTTATCATCAATTACCTGATAATTCTGTTACTGCCATCTAGTCAATCTTTACCACCTCCGCCACCGTTGCCGCTGTTGTTGGAGTTATTTCCACTTCCATTAGTAGCACCATCTTTGTCACCACTTTTTGCGCTCTCATTTGAATGCATTCGTTGATAACTGGGTGGATGTCGAACGTTTACTGAAGATGCTGGTGTTCCAGGTGTGACATCACCTTTGCTTAACATTGCAGACATGTTGTAACGATTTGCATTGAGTTCTCCTCGCATGAACCTGTAAAAGAATAATATGTAGTATTAATTAAATATACTTTTAGTATACCTTTACATTTTTATTGCAATATCAATTACCTTTCAAGTTTGTCCACGCAAGCGTCTTGGTAATCATGAATCCATCGGACACCATTAAAATGGCAAACCGCGCGCATATCATCTGGTAACTCTTCAGCCTCTGGCCACGTAAAGTTGTCGATGATCGGAATTATATTGCATTGAGACTGTAATGCAGCAACAATTTCCTGGAAATAAGCATACAATATTACCATGCACATACATAATAAAAATCAAGTAAGTTCGTTAAGTTACCTACCCTATGAACCCAATCTTTGCATTCAACGTCCGCTTTACACCTTTCCAACGCCTGGGGTGTTAAAACCAAAAGAAAATGCTTAGCATGCCTTATACTTTGAAGTAAATTATTATCAAACTTTCCGGCTTCTAATCTTTCTACATCTATAAAGACGGAAAACCCTCTCAACTGGAGATGGACTTTCAAAAGACTAGCAAGTTGAGAACCATTGGAACGCCTGTAGCTAACAAAAACATCTAAATTTTTGTCAACGCTTACTTCGGTTGCTCCTGGTGTTGTGTCCACATCGTACCTTTCTAGAAAAAAGCACAATTTAATGAATTATATTTATTGAATAAACGAATTTAATATATAGCTACTTTATTATATTTCAACCTACTTTTCAATTGTTCCAAAATCCGTAATCTGTGAATACTATTATTGATTCCACATTCGGCTATTAAGTGATCCTCTTCCAAATTTCTCAATGATTCTCTATCTACACCAGCATTGAGCATGGAATATGTATAAATACTAAACTCCGGAGCAATATTTTGTAAAAATGCATTTAAATTACTCGGATCTCTCGAACTGTAATCTGCCATTTTCTTCAAATTTTGTAATTCGCGAGTAAATCTTCTCCGCCTTATGCCATTTGTTAAGCCAATATCATCCCTTAAATTTTCTTCAGTTAATTGAAGTAATAAATCGCCATCCATCCTTGAATCCACAAAGTGTTCAGCGTATTCAGCAAATCCAATTTGTTTAACCCATTCTCTGACATCTTCAGTGGACCAAAGTGGTACTTGTTGCGATAATTTATGGGGCACTTCTTCGCCAATGAGTCTTAAAGCTTGTGCTGCATATTTAGACGCAATAGCATTTGGACAACTGGCTACTTTTTTCAAAGGTTCGACGGCACCGATTTCTCTAAATATTTCTGTATTTCCCTGCTGTTGTTTGATTCCTGCTTCCATGCAAAAGTGGAAAGCTGCCAAATTTCTAGCTTCTTCTCTTTTTGAAGACAGCACTGGCACTAAACGTTGAAGCCAAAATTTACTTTGACCGTGAGCATGAGCTAAATTTGACTTTGCAAATTCTGATGGGTTATGAGATGTAACAAAAGGTTCTACAAGATCCAAAGTTCCTGATTTCAACACTGCTGCTTCAATTTCTTTGTTGGCGACCAGAACGGCAATAGCTAAGCAAGCATAATATTTAATATGGTCATCGTTGTGAAAAGCTAGAGGGAATAACCACATCGGTACTTTTCGTTTGATCATTGCTTCCTGATTCTCGGCGCCGCCATAGAGAGATAAGTTGGCCAATGCACCTGCACAGTGGCGCAAGGTGTCCACATCGTTTTTTCTGCATTCAAAGAGAACGGCGTCTAAGCCGCCTAATCTTACAACGTCGCTGCAAGTTCCTTCACTATGTTTAAATAAATGTTCCAAAATACCAGTACCAACCCTTGAATGTTGCACGGAGCTTGACATTTTTGTGCAAACACAAGCCACGTTAACAACCTTTTCGAGTCCATTCTCTACGACATGCGCCCGGTTTTCCGTTGTAAGACATTGTTCCAATAATTGAGCAGAAGAAAATTTAACAGCATCATCATCCGTTATACAATTTGTCATCAGCAAATCCAAGCCACCGCTATTTCTCAACGCGTTGCATAAAGAATAACCTAATTCATGGCCGTGAGTTGGCACAGCCCAAGCTCTCCTTAGAATTTCGTGAATCTTATCTAAAACTCCTGGCGCTTTAGCTTGCTGTCCTTTCCTCAATCCTTTTACAAACGTATCTAAATAATGTGAGTATTTCGAAATCGCTTGCGCAACATCTTGCGGGTTAGAATCAGTGCATAGTCTTTCCAAGTCTCCAAAACCAAGTGCCAACATATCCTCATCACCTTTCATCCCACCGTTCATCAATTGTGACATTTGTGAAGCTGTTAATATTGAAGCTGTTTTAGAAGACATTTTTATATTCGAATGCGAGGGAAGAATGACTTTCTTGGTTAATGACTCCATTGGCCATAGTGTTGCGCTGAAGAGCTTGGGACATTTCAGATTGTTCAGCACTGAAAGCCGAACTTTGGAGCTTCATCGTGGTTGCTGCAGCTTTATTAGATTCCTGCTGCTCCATGTCGCTCGTTTTGAGAGATCTATTCTCCTGTAAAAGATGAAAGGCATTGTGTTAATATTAAATAAAAAATATCACAAGAATTTTTATAATTTTACACACTATATAATATGAAAAATAAATCCTTATGGTAATTTATAACTTCAAAGCAAGAATTGGGAGTTAAGGAATTGAGTCGCCTATATTAATATTTCGTTATGATGGTATATTCAAAATAAAATATGAAAAGCATTTGGATAATGTTTTGAAATGACATGTACACTAAAAATATAAACGAGAACGCATCATCTGATAGTCAAATCACAGATAAACTTGTTTGACATTGGTAAACGTTGCCAAAAACATAATATCTGCATGAAGGATCCACTTAATAGCGCTATCATAATTTTCACTTAGTTTTTTGATAGTATATCATCAATATAAAATATTAAATAAGCTAACAAATTTTTATTTTGATATGGTTTCCTGAACGGATTTGATTTTGATATTTTTTCCTCAAATTTGAGTCTTACATTCATAGGCGGTGGACTGATAGGAAATTCCACAGTTACTGCATTGGATGATGGTGTCTGGACAACCGGTTCATAATCAGATTGCCCTGATGATTTAAAAATGCCCACACGGACGGGCCATGGTGCACTATTAGCCATTTTTAACCAATGTTAAACTCTCACTTTATTTCGAAAAAAAATACCTATAGCATTTACTTTTTAGTTTCAAACGTGAATTTAATTAAAATATTTATTGACTATTAATTATAGTGAGGAATATTAATCACCGCTATATCAAAAACACCAACCAACTTTTAACAAATGAATATTAAAAATGAAGATTCACCGATATAAAATAAATTTTCAAATTCTATTCGACTATTAACAAATGTTTGTCAGTAAAACTACATCGTTCACATTTTCTTCACAAACGTCAATTCACTTTGGCAAAACTATAATGATGTCGTTGACTAATAACATTTTATAAATATCCTGAACAGTCATGTCTATTTTAGAAATTAGCATTCACTTTTGACAACAAAAAATACTAGAAAATGCTTGAAAAAATACTAATTGCTCAAATAATATGTAAAAAATAGTCCTTTAATTAATTGAAAACCGATTTTAAAATAGTAAATACGAAGTAATATTTAATTTCTTAGTAACTTCAATTGAACGTAACTTCATTTAATTCTTTATAATCATTTAATATTATTTTATTCATTATTATTTCATTTCACACACACATTTTACTGAACATTTAGCAGAAATTTCAAAATATTATTTAAAAAAATCTAACCAAATTTTTTTAACACAACATTTTTCACCTATTTATTATTATTTTTTTTTAAACATCAGAAATTCAAGTTTATTATTTTCTTTTTAATTTTCTTCACATTTTGTATCGAACATCACAGTAACAACCTTTCGTTCCAAGTTATGATAGAAAACTGATTCAGATTTCCGACTCCATTTTCGATTTCACAATATTGCGATAATAAATCTCAAGAATTGTATATGGCTAAATATTTGAATGCTAAATACTAAACAAATTAGCGTCTTTAGGTGTGAAAAATCTTTAAAAATCTTTCGTTATTTTCCGACGAATTTTCCGAAGATATTTCTCGATCCAAACATCCTTCTGATCCAGGGGG